GTTTGCTTTTACTGGACTGTTGTCAACATCTTTGTCTTGTTGGACATCTGCAGATGACATGTCTCATGGAGGTAATGTTCTAAATTGTATTCATATTTGTTCAACCAATAGATAGGGAAGGTGGGTAGTACACTTGACAGAGGTGCAGTTTGGTGACAGTTGACAGTTTTCTTCAAACTGAAGAATTCTACGGTCTTTACAAAACATGATGTTACTTCTTGTAAGGCTGAGTCTGAGGGAATAGCTTGAGCCTCATTGTCTGCAGACAAAACCTTGGATCATTCTAAAATCAAGAGTTCTTTTAGAAATGAGTTAACTGGGGATTTTCTTCTGAGGAATCTATAATATAAAAGAAGACCTCATTCTCTGTCCATCAGACGTGTATGCATTTGAATATGTGTATGTAACCTCTGTCTATATCTGGTTGGGGCACCTCAAGGCGGTTTAATGGTTAGCAAGCTTGGCTTGCTAGAACAATTACAACTGAGTAGTGAGTTCGATCCTCACTGGGTGCCCCCTAATTTCGGCCTTGTGCCAAATCTAAGCTACGCTTGGAAAATCACTATGTCTATATCTGGTTTCATGAATGATTTACAAGTGCTTGTCCCATTTAATGTAGGCACACACACATATTCACATGCTGTTTGACTGAGTTTTAAATAAGACATTGGACTAATAGATTCTCTTTCCACTTAGTCTATATAACTCCTGCCCTTGGTTAAGCAATAAAATCATAATGTTAGCGTCAAAAAAAAAGAAAATAATTTTTAAGTACTAAAGAATCACATGATTATAAGATTTTATTGAATTTTGGGGAAATTATTTGATTCATATTCCATTAGTAAGAAAGAAGTCCTACTTGAACATTTTCTTCCCATGAACTGCTACTTTGTGGAACCAACTCCTGAGAGGATGCTTTCCTGACCACTACAATCTTAATCTCTTCAAGTCTACTGTTAACTGTTATCTTTCCCACATATCCTCATAAACTGTGCTTCTTATCTCCTACTTTTACCAATTATACATCAACTTCTGTCTCCTTAAGGCCTGTTCTTTTATTGTCTTCTCTCCTTAATAATATTTTTCCTCAGATTCTTTCACACTCAGTAGCCTATTGCATCTTAGTGGTTTTATCACCTTCTTTGAGGTGAAATGTGAAAAAAAAATCTTCTGTATCTACTACAGCACTTTCCTGAAGGACATCAGTGGTGTAGTTTTGGAGCCTTTTATACAGGGTGCTGTAGAAATACCACCTACATTATAGTAAGACATTAGCTTGATGAAGAAATCATTGCCACTAATGTCTTAGTATTATGTGGGAGATATTTCTTAGAGGTATATCTAGGGTGGAGGGGGGTATTTTTTAATTTCAAATTGTTTTGACATTTTGGTTATCCTGGCATGTTTTTACCACTTTTTATAATTTAGTCTAAAATTAATAAAGGGAAATTATTTTGGTGACTTGAAATCTAAAGAATAATAAGTACTTTTTATGTTTATACTGAAACAAAACAATTAGGTTGTTGTATGGAGATTATTTCTACTCTTGTTCAATTAATGAGCTTATATTAATAATTATCTATAATTATAAAGAAACTCTTAAAAATAATTGCAATATTTGCAATTACATTGGTTATATTTTCTAGGATTTTTGTTACATATAAAAAAGAAATCTGCTTTTAAAATCACAGAAGTAAAAATATCACAAGAAAGCTAATAAGACAAAAGAAATATAAAGCAATGTATTAGCAGCCTGATCTCACCAACTTAATAAAGAAATATCTGTTTTTATAGTAAGTCATGTTTACTGATTGGACTTATGGCCATATCACGTTGAAACACCCATACGATCACCAGTTAAGTAATGTTGAGTCTGGTCAGTACCTAAATGGGTGACCTCTTGGCAATACTAGGTGCAGTAAGCATGGATGTGCTGGTGGTGTAATGAATAATGCTATGGAATTATTAATCAGAGAATCTGAGTTCCAATTCTAGTTGGGTTCATCATATTCACTTACACACAAATACCCTGGGAAAGGTATGAATCCATTCTTCTTCCTCCGACTATGGGTTAATCAGTAAGACTTGTATCACTAAATCATTATCTCTCTCAAAAATTCTTACAATCTAAAAATATTTTCTGACTTTAAATAACCTGCAAAGGGTTGATAAGCCATAAAAAACAAATCAATTGACCAATGACCTACACAGGCATGTCTTTTAGATTTATTTACATTCTCTGGGATATCAATGTATAGAATCTACCATGGCGACAAACTGAAGGATCATTTTATATATTGATTGCAATACAGAATTTATATCCACATTATAATTTCTCGTTTATCAAATCCTGATTAGGCATGAATCTACCACTTCTTCCCCAGCTAGGGGTTAATTAGTAAAACTTCTATCACTAAATCATTATCCCCCCAAAAATTCTTACAATCTAAAAATATTTTCTGACTTTAAATAACCTGCAAAGGGTTGATAAGCCATAAAAACAAATCAATTGACCAATGACCTACACAGGCATGTCTTTTAGATTTATTTACATTCTCTGGGATATCAATGTATAGAATCTACCATGGCGACAAACTGAAGGATCATTTTATATATTGATTGCAATACAGAATTTATATCCACATTATAATTTCTCGTTTATCAAATCCTGATTAGGCATGAATCTACCACTTCTTCCCCAGCTAGGGGTTAATTAGTAAAACTTCTATCACTAAATCATTATCTCTCTCAAAAAAATTCTTACAATCTAAAAAATATTTTCTGACTTTAAATAACCTGCAAAAGGGTTGATAAGCCATAAAAAACAAATCAATTGACCAATGACCTACACAGGCATGTCTTTTAGATTTATTTACATTCTCTGGGATATCAATGTATAGAATCTACCATGGCGACAAACTGAAGGATCATTTTATATATTGATTGCAATACAGAATTTATATCCACATTATAATTTCTCGTTTATCAAATCCTGATTAGGCATGAATCTACCACTTCTTCCCCAGCTAAGGGGTTAATTAGTAAAACTTCTATCACTAAATCATTATCCCCCCAAAAATTCTTACAATCTAAAAATATTTTCTGACTTTAAATAACCTGCAAAGGGTTGATAAGCCATAAAAAACAAATCAATTGACCAATGACCTACACAGGCATGTCTTTTAGATTTATTTACATTCTCTGGGATATCAATGTATAGAATCTACCATGGCGACAAACTGAAGGATCATTTTATATATTGATTGCAATACAGAATTTATATCCACATTATAATTTCTCGTTTATCAAATCCTGATTAGGCATGAATCTACCATTCTTCCCCAGCTAGGGGTTAATTAGTAAAACTTCTATCACTAAATCATTATCCCCCAAAATTCTTACAATCTAAAAAATATTTTCTGACTTTAAATAACCTGCAAAGGGTTGATAAGCCATAAAAAAACAAATCAATTGACCAATGACCTACACAGGCATGTCTTTTAGATTTATTTACATTCTCTGGGATATCAATGTATAGAATCTACCATGGCGACAAACTGAAGGATCATTTTATATATTGATTGCAATACAGAATTTATATCCACATTATAATTTCTCGTTTATCAAATCCTGATTAGGCATGAATCTACCACTTCTTCCCCAGCTATTAATTAGTAAAACTTCTATCACTAAATCATTATCTCTCTCAAAAATTCTTACAATCTAAAAATATTTTCTGACTTTAAATAACCTGCAAAGGGTTGATAAGCCATAAAAAACAAATCAATTGACCAATGACCTACACAGGCATGTCTTTTAGATTTATTTACATTCTCTGGGATATCAATGTATAGAATCTACCATGGCGACAAACTGAAGGATCATTTTATATATTGATTGCAATACAGAATTTATATCCACATTATAATTTCTCGTTTATCAAATCCTGATTAGGCATGAATCTACCACTTCTTCCCCAGCTAGGGGTTAATTAGTAAAACTTCTATCACTAAATCATTATCTCTCTCAAAAATTCTTACAATCTAAAAATATTTTCTGACTTTAAATAACCTGCAAAGGGTTGATAAGCCATAAAAAACAAATCAATTGACCAATGACCTACACAGGCATGTCTTTTAGATTTATTTACATTCTCTGGGATATCAATGTATAGAATCTACCATGGCGACAAACTGAAGGATCATTTTATATATTGATTGCAATAAAATTTATATCCACATTATAATTTCTCGTTTATCAAATCCTGATTAGGCATGAATCTACCACTTCTTCCCCAGCTAGGGGTTAATTAGTAAAACTTCTATCACTAAATCATTATCTCTCTCAAAAATTCTTACAATCTAAAAATATTTTCTGACTTTAAATAACCTGCAAAGGGTTGATAAGCCATAAAAAACAAATCAATTGACCAATGACCTACAGGCATGTCTTTTAGATTTATTTACATTCTCTGGGATATCAATGTATAGAATCTACCATGGCGACAAACTGAAGGATCATTTTATATATTGATTGCAATACAGAATTTATATCCATTATAATTTCGTTTATCAAATCCTGATTAGGCATGAATCTACCACTTCTTCCCCAGCTAAATTAGTAAAACTTCTATCACTAAATCATTATCCCCCCAAAAATTCTTACAATCTAAAAATATTTTCTGGCTTTAAATAACCTGCAAAGGGTTGATAAGCTGTAGAAAATGGTTCAAGGTTTGCTGATTGACATCAAGTAATACCTCCTATAACACTAACAACAGAATATCACATTATTAAGGTGGGATTAGGCTGTGTAATCAATAAATATATAATGATATATATTTAATAACCAACATTTTCTTTTTGTGGTCATGGGGAATAGTGCCTTACCCACAAATCCTAAACTTAGAAATGAACAGAACTTGCGCTTATGTGACTCATGAAAGTGTCAGTTTGTCTGCTGAATTCTTCTGAATAATTTGTTTTAATATTTTCTTGTAGGTATTGTTGCTGTCTTATTCTGTGGAATCACGCAAGCACATTATACCTATAACAATTTGTCTCCAGAATCAAAAGCACGAACTAAACAGGTGAGTATACATGCATACATAGCAGTGTTTTTTTTTTTGTTGAGGTATGACCAGGATTAATCTTGCACAAAGCAAGGTAGGTTTTACCTAACTATCATAATGATTTGAGTCAATGTTTTACAAGACCAGATGCTCTTTCTGACCCCTAATTCAGACACTCATGGTAATACAAGTGTTTTTATTAAGACACAATCTTTAAGAAAGTTGCCATTCAAGGCTTGAGACCCTGTTCTAGCCATCTATTTATCTATCTATCTATATATATATATATATATATATATTAATTGCTTGCAGAACAATGTAATATACCAAGCCATTATAAAATCAGCAGATAACAAAGAAAAAATATACATAGTAGTAACTGAAAGGCTCTGGAAACAAAGAAACAACACACACACAACTTCTTTTGCAAATAGTAAATACATGAACAGCACAATGCTTTCTAAGCATATCTAGGAGATTAAAAACAAACACACCAAATCTCACAGAAAATAAGGTAAACTGCATTAGCCTACAACAATAAATTCAAAAAACATAAACTCTACCAGGAGGAGAAAACAAATATGTTTACCTTTCCAGACCAATAAAAACTACGAAATAAAAGATCAGAACTCATTCCAAAATGCAGACATGAATACCACTTTTTGCAACATTTCTTAAAAATGGAAAACTGAAATTGAACAAGATTTAAATTAAAATAATAAATAAATTAAAAAAAAAAAATAGAATAAATAAATAAAAATAAGTAAAATAAATTAATCCATATCAAATAATAAGGAAATAATAGACAAATTCACAACTCATAAACACAAGTAAAAGTAATAAAAGTACCCAACAATAAATAATGAAAAGTTAACACTACAAAGAGTCAAAAAACTGTATTCGGACTCACAATTAATTTCCACTCAATAGTCCCTAGAATAATTTGTAAAATAACTGTTACCACCCACCAAAATAACAATTAGAATAATACAATAGACTCACAATGAATCACTGACCTGGCCTGATGATTGTGTTTAGCATGAAACAGATTGTCACTTCTTGGTGTTGACTTCAATGTCCACTCATATTTATAGGGTGCAATGGATAAGTTACACAAAATGAAAATAACACTGACATCTCATTTTGACAGATACACAAATTACACAAAAATATTTTGAAATACTAAAGAGTAATTTTTTTCAATAAAATTGTCACATTCTCCATACAACTTTGGAATCTCCTGCAACTCTCTTCTGAACAGTCCCTTGTTTAAGTAAGTGAATGCCATAATCCTTGCCTTCAGTTCATCCTTGGTGTTACAAGGAGTTTTGTTGATCTCTCGATCAACTGCACCCAACACATAATAATCAAGTGGGTTGCAGTCTGGGGAGTTAGGTGGCAGATGTAAGGGGTGATAAGGGGTTGCAGAAATTGTCTGACAGCCATGACTGGGTCCTTCTGCTTGTGTGGCATGCATGGTGCAGTCCTGTTGCCCGACATAGGGTCTTCTAGCAGCCACCCTATGGATCCAGGACAGCACTACCTCCTCAAGGCACTTGATATAGTTGAGACTGAGGCCATCATCAACAAATTTGGGAATTCTTTTATCAGAACGGTCAGAGTGAGTTTTCTGAGCTGCTGCACCTTCGTAATCATCATTACACTCATCCAACTCTTTCTGAATCCTCTGCACGGTCCTCGGATTGACACCCAAACACTCTGAAATGTTTGTATTGGAGCTTCTGGCATAAATGCCAAGCAGTACGGCATGCCATTTTCAAATTTCTGGCAGAGTGAATTGCGTCATGGTGTTTTTTATTCTCTTAGACTGTGCCCAACTGACCCTACTATACTGGACAGTTGACAAAATCAAAAGCAAACAATGCACCTGCATAAAATTAAAAATATAAAATGGCGACAATTTACCCATCGCACCCCGTATAAACGCTCTGTCCCTGACATTGAGCACTTTAACCCATAAACATAGCATACTATATTTTATCATATATATGTATCTGTTGGCTGTTACCTCCTATAAGAAACACATCTGCCCTTTGACAGGTCGTTTTTCAAGTTGTGATATGCTATTTGCCACACCAGCAAAAAAGACTAAATCTCTTAATATTCGTCATATGACTTACATCCCTGAATATTAAAAATAAATTAATATGACAGTTTATATGGTATTTGAAAATATTACAAATTTGTGTTTTTTTCTTCTGTATTTAAGAATTTTTTCTACTTTATGAGGTGTTATCTGACCATGAGGAAATTAATTTTTTTTTGCCATTTCCTGTAGTCTCTTGCCTGCTGTTTGCAAACTGACTCATAAAGTGTAGCAGAAAATGTTTAGATGAATTTCAGTTTGCTTGTGTTCTTCAAATTGGTTAAAGCTTTAGTTATAACTTTGTATATTTGAAAAACTAATGTTTTGTGTTGTATTGAATCATTTTCTCACTTTTTTAAGTTAAATAAATTCCACTTAAAAATTAATCTATTTCTATTTTTTCTCATTGCAGCTGTTTGAATTATGTAACTTTTTGGCTGAGAATTTTGTATTCCTCTACATTGGAGTCTCAGTTTTCACGTTCCAAGGCATGAAATGGCATGCTGCTTTTATATTTTCAGCATTTGTATCCTTTTATCTTTTGTAGTCAAATCAAAAAATCCTACAACACCAATATCATTATTTTGTTACTAATAGAATAATAGTAACACTTTGCTTTAATAATAGAATAAGAGTTACTAGTCTTAATCATGACAATTTAGTAGTTTTGCTATTTGAATCTTCGGAAGGAAAGTTGGTTCTCTGTATCATGCCGGAAGGTTTTTCTTGCCTGAGTCTATCCTTCACATCTCTAAATCTACCATTCATCCATGCATGGAATACTGCTGCCATATCTGGTCTGGTGCCCTAGCTGTTCATCTGTAGGTTCTAGACAAAATTCAAAGACAGATATGCACTGTGATTAGTCCTGACTTGAGGTCTTGACTCCAGTCACTTTCCTACCAATGTAATGTGGCTTCCCTCTGTCTTTTCTAGAAATATTTTCATGGTATCTGCTCTGACAAGCTATTTTCACTGGTACCCCAACTGCATGAATTTAAGCATGCTTCGAGGTTGGCATCTCTGACCCATCCTTTTACTGTTGAAACAGTTAAATGTAACAGCCTCTTCTACACTAACAGCTTCTTCTCTCACACTTCCCGACAATGGAACTCCCTTCCTCTTACTTGCTTCCCTGATAACTACAATTTTCAAAAATTTAAATGTAATGTCAATCGACATCTTTTGTTGCCTTGATCTCTGTTCTTCTTTTTATCCATTCCTCACCCCCCACCAAATACCCATTCTTTTCTCTTACTTACACTCTCTGCAGAAGCTTGCATACTAGTAGCACTCCTGCTTTGGTTGGGGTGAAATGCTTAAAAAAATAATTTATAAAGTTGTAGCTGCTGTCTGTCTGTTATCAAACTCCTTCTAGGGTTTTGGAGATAGACCCTCATAACCATATATATTCTGAAAGTACATTATCTAGGGTTCTTGGATAAGTATATTTCATTTTGATCAAAGAGTGACACAGCAAGGTGCGGGTAATTCAGCTAGTGCATCATAATTCTTAACATAATGACTGAATAAGCTCTTTGCAAGTTCCACTTTAAAATACTTGTGCAAATTTCCCTTTTGCATCATTATATACAGATATTAATGGCAATGGATCTTTTAATGTCCTACAATTATGTGGGAAGTGTTTCTGCTGCAGCCTGTATCTGAGTATAACAACTTATTGCCATACCAATCTGATGAATGCAGGTCATTATTTAAGGAAATAAGAAGGTGCAAATAAAAAGGTTTGAAATGGACATGTTTTTCCATTTCAATGAAGCAACGGTTAAACAAGAGCAAGATAGCCACCACTTTCTTTTCACTGAAACCAAATAGCATCACTTGTATGTTTTTTTTCTCCCTTTTTCCTGGTGACCAAAACAGAATTGTTCATTATTTATGAGGTATTGGCAGGACATAACCTAAGTTCTAACAGAATTGTAATATGATATTAAAATTATGTGAGGAAAACCAACAATAATAGGATTGAATAAGGCTTTCATAAAAATCATTCTTTATTTAAAAATTTTAAAAAATGGCCAGTGAAATATATTAGAAAAAGAAATAAAAATTAGTCATAATTTTTTTAGATGAATTATTATTATTATTATTATTATATGCATTTTTATTTGGATCAGCATATTCATCTTGGTTGTTATATTCACAACATTTCAACTGTTGTAACAACTTGAATACATGGAGCTGATCTAAATTTACAGTAATATTAGATCAGCTGTATTGGTATTCATTCACTTTAAAGCCATCTTTGTTTTTATTCAGGATCCTCTTGATTTTCAGATTCTGATCCTTTTTTAATTTGCCATCCCCAATGAGGTTAGTCAATTTTTTTAGATATACCAACATGCGCATTACCAACATTGTGTTGTCCTTGTCTGCAAGCAGTATGATAATTTTAGCATCATTCTGTTAGGTTTTGATAGCCAATTGGGAGACTTGGCTTTCTCCATTACCAGGCTTAATTTCCATCTGAACATCCTCAAAGCTGCCTCCTCATTTTGGGGTTAAGACATCTAAATATAGGACTTGTTTGATGGTTTTTACAAATGTCAGACTTTTGGTCAGCATTGTTTCTTCCAAGGTACTTTACTAGTATTTGCTGATATTGACAATTGCTGATGGCTAACATTGTTGTATCTTATACTGTGATCTTTCAGCTGTTGCAATGCCTGTATTTGATCTAACTTGACCTTCTCAGATTCCTGCTAAGATAACTTGTCTAGATTATGTTAAATTCAATTTCTATCTGTTTCTGATATTCTTCTGACAAAGAAGAGTTGAATCTGGCAAGAAAGTTCACTTTGTAATCATTTCCCTAGCCTGAGAATACCCTGCTTTTTCTGCAACTGTTTATACTCTTTCAGAATTCATCAGTGTTTGGAAAGATAGATTGGCTTGAATTTTCTATATCTACAGATAAATATTAGAGAGTTTTCTGGATTATCCCAAAAAGATACATAGCCCAATGGATTAAAGCATTGGTTAATTCATTTCTGGTTTCTTAGCAATCGTGTGTTGAAAAGTCATATACAAGGTCTGATCAAAAAGTATTGGGACTGTTGCTATGGTAATGAAGCTAAAGCACATGCAAGGAAGCCATTTGACACAGATTGACCTTTGAACTCTGTTGCACATGCACAATAAGTTATAACATTCTCATTCACTTCTGTTTTTTATAGCAGTGCTCAGAAGGAATGTGTGTAGAGTGTGGTTGTCTCACCACACCACAGAGGTTCCATCAGTGACCATGGAGGAGAAAATTGTGCAGAGAATCTGCATCAAATTTTGACAAAAGCTTGGTCATACCTGTGCAGTGACCTATGCAAAGTTGCAGAAAATGTATGGAGAGCATTATGTAAAATAGACACAAGTCTATGAGTGGTTCAAACATTTCCATGATGGCTGACAAAATGTCAACAGTGTCAGACGTTCTGGGAGATGTACAACCAAGAGAACTGATGAAAACATGCATGCAGCTGTTCAGAAAGATTGTTGAATCACCATGTGTGAATTGTTGGAAGATGTGAACATTAGTTATATTTCAGTCTATTCTCACTAAAGATTTGAATACAAGATGTGTGTTTGACAAGTTTGTACCAAAACCACTTTCAGCTGGCCAAAAAGAAAATTAGGCTTTGGGTTTTAGCTGTGCAGGATCTTGATTGTGCTTAACCCCAAAACCAAGTCTGTCTTCGCATTGGAAGACCCAACCTCTTTGAGACCAAAGAAAGTATCAATGTTGAAATAATGTGAAGACACTGTTGACAGTTTTCTTCAGCTACAAGGACATCATCATGAGTATACTCAACCTGGTCACAGATAGTAAACAAAGAGTACTACCGTGACATGTTTCAGCATTTACAGTATGCAGTTTGTCAGAAAAGGACAGAATTGCATGCATCCAGTTAGTGGCAATTCCACCATGACAATGCACCTGCCCATCAGTGCAGCTTGTGTGACATTCTCCAGGTCCAAGAACCATCATATTCTCAAGATGTCACCCCTTGCAACTTTTCCTCTTTCCAAAAATTAAATTCCACATGAAATGAACAAAATTTCAAGACACTGAGAAAATCCAAGAGAATATGATGAGGCAGCTTGCTATCCCAAAAAAAGGAGTTTCAGGAATGCTTCCATCAATGGAAACAATGCTGGATAAAGTATGTTGCTTCATTTTCTGCTATTTTCACTTTTAAAGTAGAAGCATTTAAAATTTGTAATCCAGAATATGATATATATAAATATATATATATATATATATATATATATATATATATATATATATATATATATATATATAAAAATAAGAAGGCTTATGTTTCTTGAACAATCATAGTTCAATTTCAGAACATTTGAAGGGACACTCATGTCCACATTCACAGTTTAGACAATAGCAGAAAATGAAGCAACATACTTAGACAGCTATTAGTTGAAAATACATCAGTGCTCCATGAGAATAAGCAAAAACTTAAAATTCTGGAAGTCCTTTATATAAGAGAATTATGGCCAAAAATAAGGTCAGCTATGATTATAGCAACAATGTTCTTAAATGTTTGTAGCAGCAAAGTGTCATATGAAAAATACTAAATTAAAAATACTACAATTAAAAAGTCTTTTTAAAAAAAATCACATGGGTTACCTCTCTTGTATAGAGGTAAAAAAATATTTTGAATTTACGGTGTTAACATACAACACATCCATAGATATGCAACCCCTGATGATGGTCTCAGATGAGATTGAAAGTACATGAGAAAATAAAATAATTTAAAAGAAAATTTTGGAATTTTTCTTAATCAATTTTCTACAGCCCCCAAGGAATTAATTTGTGGATGCGTGAAACCCAGAGTTATAGACTCACATCCATATAACTAAGTATGTTATCTCTACCACTGATATTGAGCACTTTCCAATAAATACCGCAAATTATATATATATATATATATGGTGTTCCAATAATTTGGACTGATTTTAAATGTGAATTAAGTTTAAGCATCTAATGATTTTTTTTCTTTATCTTTCAGATTTCATAACTTGAGTCTTTGGCAATTTCAACCATGGAAAGATTAACAAACAAACAACATGTTAAAGTTATAGAAGCCTATTATGAAAATGGATGTTCAAATTTATAAATATATGGCCCAATAATTCAGCTATCAAAAAGTGCACACCAAACAGTGACATTTGTGGATGTAGTGGCTTTTCAAAAATCTTCCTTGGATTTTTATCAGCCCAAATATGACAATTCTGCTTATCAACGAATCCACCAAGATGAAAATGGGCTTTATCGCTAAAGAGAATCTTCATCTTGTCTTTGCTCTTGTCCTCAATTGATGAATGTATAGTGTTCCAAATGGTCAGCAGGTTTCAGTTCTTGTATCAATTGAATTTTGTAAGCATGTAGAGACAACTCTTTTGTCAAAGTTCAATGCAGTACTGTTACGGAGAGGTTCAATTCCTGTGCATGATGATGAATAGAGGTGTCTGGATCTTCGGCCATATTTTCATGCACTGGAGCAATATTTTCAGCTGAACCGCATAAACAAACACGCAATGGTGTTTTCATATCTGCCACCGACCCAGTTTGTTTGAATTTACGAACATTTTTTCCAATTGCGCTCTCGGTTAGTTGATAATGTTGACCAAAAATATCGCAAAGTGTGCGAAATGTATTTCTGTTTGAATGTCTATTTTTGTAATAGTCTTTGATAACTTTAACGCGTTGTTTGATTGTTAATCTTTCCATGGTTGAAACTGCCAAAGACTTTAGTTGTTAAATCTGAAAGAAAAAGAAAAAAATATCATTAGATCATTAGACACTTAAACTGAATTCACACTTAAAATCAGTCTGTTATTGGGACATCCTATATATATATATATATATATATATATATATATATATATATATATATATATATTTTTATTTATTTGAGTCAGATGTGAAATGAAATAATGTTTTCAAATACCACTTATTAAAAAATGCTCTAAATTTTTCTTTCAACCCAATACATTACAAACTAATGCTTCAAGATTAATAACTTGATACCCATGAATAGATTTGTGTTCAAGGGGAGGTAATTAGGAAATTTCCATGGATGGAAGTGATATTGGAGTTTCTCTCATCTACATTTTTTAGATTCAAAATCAGAACGTCTGGATTTCAAACGATAAGAAAATTAAAATAAAGAAAACGTGGGTATGCCTGTTAAATAAATCATTTTTATTTACAAAAATGTATACATTAATTCAAAAGAGCCAAAAAGGAGTAAAAATTATCTTGAGATAGTTTTTGTGTAGTTGGTTCACAGAAAAAGCTGTTGACTAGGAAAGACTATGTTTGTCAGTGAAGATTCACTGACAATCAACGCTGTTGTTGTTGAGGATGATTTGTTTATAGTCAACAGCACATGTTTCTTTCAGCACACACTGGTAGGGGTAGGAAAAAACTATGTAGCCATGTCTTGTGTTTGAACAGCTTGGAGCCAGTTGTATCTCTACTGTTGAAAGACAAAATCTATGTTTTTTTTTTTTTTCATAAGAAATTTTTCCCTTAAAGTAGGCTCAAGAAAAATAAAGTTTTAGTTTTCTCTGATTGGTCTAATATTTCACATATTGATGATAATTTTTGCCAATAGACACTTTGATTTAAATGGTGTGTATTTTATTTTGGAATCTTTTTGGCATGTTTGTAAATATCTTCTGTTATTGGGTAGAAAATAAACTTTGGGCATGTTTTAATATATATATATATATATATATATATATATAATTATATGTAATTGCATTGGAAATGTTTTTGGTTATTTTTTTTTATCTTGAATTTCATTTATTTGCTGTATTAATGTATTCAATTAAAGAAAGAGTTGTGCACATTGTTTAAATTGAGGAAGGCATCACAGATAATGTCACTGAATGGTTGATATAAATCTGTCAGTCCGAAATATATTATTTAAAATGAATAAAAAATTATCTGCTTCTTATAATCAGTTGTTTATCACAATGAATTTAAAATACTCAAAGTTAAATTGTTTCATTTTTTATCTCCTTTCCTTAACATTATCAGCCAATTATGGGATGCTACTATAATATGATATCTACTGTCTATTTTCTACTATAGTAGGATATCTGCTATTCATTTTCTTCTATGGTCTGATATTTACCAACTGTTGGAACTATGAAATATGTTAGGACTAAAGGCAGTGAACTGGTTATGTACTAAAAATCATTAACAATTTTTTATACAAAAAAAAAATCATCAGTAATTTTAATGTTTGTAAACTGATTTGATGTAATTTAAAAAATAGTAAACAAGACATCGTTTTTCCTGAGCATTTTCCAGCAATAATGAGTTGCATTGTCATTTATGGTAGTTCGCAAATGCCTCGGTAAATATTATACTTTCGTAACACCAATTATGGTTGTCAAAAAGACGCTGACCCAAAATGATTACCAGCTTCTGTTGTGCTGTTACTGTCAATAATTCATTCATAATATCAATTTTGTTTATAAAAATAGAAATAAATTTAAATTGTTCTAATTTTTATATTCTTTGTTTAATATTATCAACTAGCTATTTTTATGAAAACCCCAACAACAAGTGATTGCAATAAATGGCTTCCTCTGTGTGTGTTTGTGTGTGGAGATATATATATATATATATGTGTGTGTTTGTGTGTGTGTGCCTTCAAAGTATCTGCATAATAATGAAAAAAATATTTTTAAATTCTGCTGAAGAAACTATAATTCTTGAATTTGCTGTCGATAAGAGACGTACAAATATTTTGATAACAGAAAAAGGTAAGTTTAAAAAAAAACTGTTTTTATTAAATGTGTAATTTTTGTATGGAATTCACTTTGTCAGTTTCTTTCTTTAACTCTCATCCAGTTTGCAATATTTGTAGCAAGGTTTTTTAATGTTTATCCTTTGTCCCTTTTATTAAATTTGGGACGGAAAAACAAGATCAAATTTTCTTTCCAGCACATGATGATGTTTGCTGGTAAGTAAAAAATTTCAACATTGATCATGTGTATTTTTTTTTTTTTTTTTTCATTTGTCACTATGATGGGAACATCCACATATGAGGGGATAATGTGTGAATTTTTCTTGGTCTGAAGTGTTTCATATTTTATGACCCATAATAAAATCTGCGAAATTGAGTCATCAAAAGCAGCCACCCACTTGACCCAAAGAGAATAAAATACTGTATATACCTGAGTAGAGTGCCAGTTTTTATGAAAAAAAAATAGGGAGTTGCACTATGCAGGTACTCTTTCGAAGAGATTAGAAATCATGTATTTTTGGTGATCGTTTGCACTATACATTGGAATTTCAAATCAAACCCTTTATTTCGTCCACTGGGGTAGATTGTTCTAGTTCCACATGCCATGTCTCTTCCAGATATCTCAGTTTCAGTTATTTCCCTTTAGTAACTCAACTCTTGTGTTGTATAAAAAAAAATGTGAAAATTTTCAGATAGTATATATGTAAAAGGACAATAGGAATAAAGACAAAAGGAAAACTTATCTTAGCTGACACATTTCATCCAATGAGGAATTTTATCAAGGCAAATTTAAGGATTTTATTTTGTGACAAGTATTTATATACAAGAATAAAAATGTTATTGGTTTTTCAAAATTTTTGGTATAGGGGTGCTCATTGAATATTCATCAGGTTAATGGAAAAGTCAGACAAGTTCATGAACATGAGGTGATACAGTTAATAATGCCTAATAAATGAAAGTGAGTCGGAGATTTTATATTAGTATTTAAATTATTTGGGATTGATATTGTTTTATTTGTTATGTATTTTGAATAACATGATGTTATGGATTTAACCATATGTATTTTTGTGGTCATGTATCTTGGGATAGTTGTAATTCTTTCAGGAAAGGAGATATGGGGAAGATATAAATTTATGCCCTGGTATGAAGACATATATTTAAAAATCTGTTTTTTTTTTTCTTCAGGGTTGAGAGGTGCTATAGCCTTTGCGCTGTCAATTCGAAACACATCGACAGAAGCCCGGCAACACATGGTGTCAGCCACCATGATGATTGTATTGGTGACAGTGATTCTCTGTGGTGGAATGACTACACCTATGTTGCAATGGCTTAAAATTAGGTAAGAACATTTTTTTTATTGCACATAAATTTGAAAAACAAATTTGTAATGAGTAGTTTTTATTTGTTCTTTTTTATGTGATGAAAACTTCAATTCCTTGTACAAATAGATGCTTGCCCAGTGAAATTGGCATGAGGGTTAGGTTGGTAAACTTTTAAGAATTTATTTATCTGTGCAGTATAACTTGTAAATTGAGTTTGTAATATCTGTAAGAACCTGGATTTAAATTTACTATGGCTGAACTAGCAACACATCCAGATTTTTACAATGTTTCAAGCAACGATTACCAACGGCTTTCCATACTTCATTCTCCAATTCACTCTCGTGTGGTCATCTGTGACATCATGAGATGCGGTGCAATTTTCGCTTCTAGTGTCTTATATGTGCGTGTTTATCATTGCTTAGAAATCATCTATGTAAACATTGAGAGACTATCATCACTGTCTTGTCCGTATATTATTTAATATGTTGTAATTGACATCTTTGATAATGGCTTAAATAAGCCGAAAGCTTAGATTATAATAAAAAAATATGGATCAATATTGTGAATTTCTTTCTTCG